CTGTACACGTTTCCAGGTGGTATCGTTGCGGCACAAATTTTGTAATAAAATGAGCTACAAATTTTTTTCTGTTAATTATTCAAGAGAAACAGTCTTTTTTTTGAACATTGGCCATTTTCGTACGGACCACAAATGATTTTGAATACGGGTGGTGTAACCTTTTCATCTGTACATCGTTTCCAGGTGGTCTCGTATATATAGGCAGAATCCTTTAATAAATGAGCCAGACAATTTTTTTCTGTTAATTTTCAAGAGAAACAGCAATATTTTGAAACAGCGCCTTTCCTAATGACCGGCAAAGATTTTGAATACATACTAACACCTCAATAAAAAAAATAATGTGTCCTTATAATAAATGAGCTACAAATGTTTTTTTTTCTGTTAATTTTTCAAGAGAAACAGCGGTTTTTTGAACTTGGCCCTTTTCCTACGGACCGGCAAATGATTTTGAATACGGGGTGACGTACCCTTATCATCTGTACATCAACAGGTGGTCTCAACGAATGTGGGCACAACCCTAATAAATGAGCTTCAAATTTTTCTGTTAACTTTCGAGAATCAGCGGTTTTTTGAATTTGATAGTTCCCCTACGGACTGGCAAATGATTTTGAACATGGGGTGGTAAATTCTTGTCATCTGTATATCGTTTCCAGATGGTTTCGTTGTTGCACAACCCTTAACAAATTGGTGGCGATTGTTTTTTTTTTCTGTATAATATTAGGTAAAATGACAGTTTTTTGATTCTGGCCCTTTCTCACAGAGCGGCAAATGATTTTGAATACGGGTGGTTTATGTTTGAGCTGCGATAACCTCTTAATAAATGAGCTACAATTTTTTTTTCTGTTAATTTTCAAGAGAAACAGCGGTTTTTTGTACTTGGCCCCTTTTCCTACGGACCGGCAAAATGATTTTGAATACGGGGGGTGGTGTAGATTTTTATCTGTACATCGTTTCCAGGTGGTCTCGTTGCGGCACAACCCTGGCAATAAATGAGCTACAAATTTTTTTTCTGTTAATTTTCAAGAGAAACAGCGGTTTTTTGAACTTGGCAGTTTCCTACGGACCGGGCAAATGATTTTGAATACGGGGTGGTGTACCCTTGTCATCTGTACATCGTTTCCAGGTGGTCTCGTTGCGGGCACAACCCTTAATATGAGCTACAAATTTTTTTCTGTTAACCAAGAGAAAACAGCGGTTTTTTGAACTTGGCCCTTTTCCTACGCACCGGCAAATGATTTTGAATACGGGGTGGTATAATATTGTCATCTGTACATCGTTTCCAGGTGGTCTCGTTAAAGGCGGCACAACCTATAAACTATCTAGCGAGTACAAATTTTTTCTGTTAATTTTCAAGAGAAACAGCGGTTTTTTGAACTAGGCCCTTTCCTACGGACCGGCAAATGATTTTGAATACGGGTGGTGTACCCTGTCATCTGTACATCGTTTCCAGGTGGTCTCGTTGCGGCACAACCCTTAATAAATGAGCTACAAATTTTTTTTTCTGTTAAGCTTCTAGGAGAAACAGCTTCTTTTGAACTTGGCCCTTTTTCCTACGCAACCGGCAAATGATTTTGAATACGGGGTGGTAAAAACTTGTCATCTGTATCGTTTGGCAGGTGGTACTCATTGCGGCATAACCCTTAATTAAATGAGCTACAGATTTTTTCTGTTAATTTTCAAGAGAATCAGCGGTTTTAATTTATAACCTTTTCCTACGGACCGGCAAATGATTTTGAATACGGGGTGGTGTAAAATTTGTCATCTGTATATCGTTTCCAGATGGTCTCGTTGGGGCACAACCCTTAATAAATGAGCTACAATTTTTTTTGGTCCACCACCAATCCCATTTTACATTTGAAATCCTGTTGGATTCGTCTTTTCGTTTTTACGAGAAACATTTTTTTTTGAACTTGGCCCTTTACCTGCTACCTCGGCAAATGATTTGAATACGGGGTGGTGTACCTTGTCATCTGTACATCGTTTCCAGATGGTCGTTGCGGCACAATCCTGAAACGAAATTGGTTGATTTTTTTTTCTGTCTTATTTTAGGTAAATGACAGTTTTTATATCTTCTCTGGGACTAGCTACGGAGGCAAATGGTTTTGAATACGGGTGGTGTACCCTGTCATCTGTACATCGTTTCCAGATGGTCTCGTTAATAATAAACCCTTAATAAATATTACAATTCTTTTTTCTGTTAAGGTGTTTTAATCAGAAACAGCTAATTTTTTGGTACTTGGCCCTTGTTCCTACGCGACCGGCAACTCGGATTTTGAATACGGGGTGGTGTACCCTTGTCATCTGTACATCGTTTCCAGATGGTTTCGTTGCGGCACAACCCTTAACAAATTGGTGGCGATTTTTTTTTCTGTCTAATTTTAGGTAAAATGACAGTTTTTTGATTCTGGCCCTTTCCCTACGGAGCGGCAAATGGTTTTGAATACGGGATAACGTACCCTAGTCGCTTATACATCTTTTCCAAAAGATTTTGTCGTGTCACAACCTTTAATAAATTACCGGCGATTTTTGCGAAGAACTAGATAGAACTCAATTTCTTAAGAGGATTTTTAAAGTGAAATTAATATTCAGAAATAATTGTTCATTATACGAGGCATATAAATATAAACTCGACATTCTAAATATTTAGTAATATTTGTAAAAACAGAAAAGTGTGGCTGTAGATATATTTTAATTGAAGCGTTTCGGTACAGAGAACCGTGGATGTGGCTGAAATCAGACTAAAAGGCGTTGTTGCCATATGTTTACTATGGTCGGGATTTATCCGAAACCGTGGATGAAAAACCGTGGCTATCTTCACGCCGGTTATATTAAATGATTTTAAATTTTGTCGTTAATAGGTGTAACAAATTATTACTAATTATTATTTAGCGCTTGTTTTGCGCTAAGACCACAACGAAATTGTCTTTTTGAACATGTTGGTTCTGGACCTTTCGACGGCGAAACGCAATTCTGCAGTTGGCTTTGTTAAGACCAGTCTTGCTTCAAAGCATTAAAAATCATTTTCCTACATCCAAAAAATAACAAGTATTATTGTAGTGTAACAAACACAATATTAATAAAAAAAATTTAACCAAAATATATAGACGTAACTATCCCTAACTACTTTAAAGCCAGACAATAATATTTTTGCTAATATCATGCAAAACCAATATATTACGCAACAGCACTGTTTCTTCATAATGTAGTTTTTGTGTAAATACTAACATTTCAATAAAAAAAATAATGTGTCCTTTATCTATTTCTCCGCAAAAAATCAAAGTTGAAATAACTCCTTTTCATAGCATTGCCAATGTTCTGCCGTCGGGTTTCTCGGAAAGAAACTCTACGTCGCCGGCGACAACAAAAAATCAAAAGTTAATATTTTATTATAATCGATCATGATGAATAAATGAATTTCATAAATGAATGAATTTTATAAATGAATGGTTTTTGCTGCCGAATTACTAGAATACAATATTTTAAGGCAGATGACGCGTCTATTCGATAATTTTTATTCAAATAGTTTTCAACGAATGTTTTCTTACTAGCTATCGAATTATTCGAATTAATTGCAACTATCGAATGTTTCGATAGTATTCATTCGATAGTTCCCACTACTATGTCGAACACCTGTAGCAAAATCTCATGTCTTGGTTTGCTATTTATTTTTATTGTTATTAGATATAGTTTAAATGTGTTGATGTTGGTTAAATATGGTTTAAATTGTTATAAAATTCTGTATCTCTCATTGCAAATATTATTTTCGCTTTAATTGATGCTCACAGCTAGAATTTTTCTGCATTAGGGTACGTTTATGTTGGAGCTGCGATAAACGATAAAAGCAGTGAATTAGCGCTGCTCTTATCGTTGCTCAACTGCCAAGCGTGTCTCGACGCGTTGCTCCAATATAAACACCTACATATAAATTAATATAATAATATTCTTTGCTTCGCTACTATCGCTGCTCTTATCGTTTATCGCCGCTCCAACATAAACGCACCCTTACAGCCGGCGCCGCTCAAAGCCTATTATTTAAAGTGGGCGAATTTTTATAAACTCTATATCTGGAAGAGGAATCGAGCAAAATATCAAGTGTGCTATATTTTTGGAAAGGCAATTTAAATTATTTTCAATAAATTAAAAATATACAGGTTGCCCCATATAAAAAATCAAATTTTCTGTTCATAATTCTTAAATTATTAATTTAAAAAAATATATACTTAAACCATTAAATTCTACGTAAAAAGGTGCTTTGGGAAAGTTTTCATAAAAATACAAAATTTTCCATGGCAAAAAATTTATAGCGATTTGTTAAAAATGCACATTTTTGAAAAACACCCCGTAACTCTGAAACGGTAACAGATATCGATATCACTTTTTTCACCATCATGTTTTTGATAAAAATTGAGCTCCAGACACCAATATTAGTTTTTGTCTATCTCCTATAGAAAAGGGCGTTTCCCTTTAAAAGCGTCCAATGTCCTAACATGTACATTATTTTTTAATGTAGACTTGCAAAAAGTTTAATTAAATATTTTTCTCGGCGGTCGATAATCATGCCCGTCGCTGCTCCACTGACGAATTTCCGCGGAAACTTGGAGGAACGAGCGACTCAAGGTCCTGGTGGCCTCGCCTTAGCAACGATAAAAGATAGGCTTCTGGTTATTTCTTCTTCTGTGACATGACCAACCTGATGTTGTTCAGTGTGAACTCCAAACTGTAATTTGTAGTGGCTTGATTGACAACCTTTGATTACTTAAGGGAGGTCTCGGTTCCGGAATAGGTCCTGAGGAACTAGTTCTTTGAGAAACTGGGAACTAGTTCCTTTCATTCCGGGGTCGGAATAGTCCATTGGAATTAGTTCGTTCACGAACTACACACCTCTACGGTGAAGATCAAAGTCGCGCCTATAAACCGACGAAAAGCCGTCGCCTGTGTTTTCGCTGTTAGATATTCAATATTTATCCACCTTGTATTAATTTATTTCAACTGTTTCATAGAAAACGGAAGCAAACTGAAGCACAGCTTTATGAAACACTGGTCATTGGTGATGACCCTGTCACAATGGTAGAAAGTGACCCTCTGCTGGAGCTTGTATCTGCAACTGCTCCCAACATGGATATCACTATGAACTCTCCTTCGGATAGCACCCACCTATTTGAGAAAGGTTTGTATGTTATTTGAGAAATGTGTTTAATTTGACCATATTTATGATTTGTTAAGCTGGTACCACAATAAAAAATGAAACTTATGAAGAGATACATATTGAGGAATGTCACCTCCCCTCTCCCAGCGAGGAGTGTATGTGTAAGTCCCACATTAAGAGTCTATTACGCTGTATTTTCGGGTCGCTCTCAGGGGTCGTGTTAAGCCACCCAAAAAATTCCAAACATACGTGCTGTGATTAAGGTTTGCAGAGCTTCAGCATTTGCCATAAAATAGTGAGCAATTTGTTACAAAACCATAGAAATTATATATCACTAATCACAAAACTTTAATCTATTCTCGTATTGTAACGGAACTTTAAATTATGTATTTATTTTCGAGAAAATTTAGTCAAAAGATGAGGAATATTTTGTTGATGTTTGACCATCAAAATCTTAAAAATAAAGAAGGTGTCTAAAAATGTGCTACAATGCGGATATAGTATAATCCTTTATCTTTAATTTCCTTCTTCATTTGTGTAAAAAATACCTAGCCAGTTTTACATAAAACGTTAAATGCCGAACGCTTATTTTGCTACTTTTTCGGACTAGTGAAATGGACTCTTAAGTTATAAAGTTATAAATTTTTACATGACTTTGTAATCAAATTATCTTTAATTTCAGTCAATTCGAACGATGAGCTATCTGACACAGTAAAAGTGAAGAAGGCAACAAACCCTCCAAGATGTAAGTAATGCTGTTAGTAACTACTAGTTAAAAAATATGAAAAACACATTTTGCTTTAGTATCTCCTGCTGCTCAAGGGAAAGCGAAACGACTGACGATGGCCATCCACCAGCAGCGGGAACTCCATAATTTTAAAAAACTAATTGCTGAAGAGGAATTACTGAAGATAAGGGAAGAAAGAAAAGTGAATATGAAAATAATGGACTTAAAACTGCAGCAGGCATCTCATGAAGTAGCGACTGCTTTGTTAAAACGAAAACAGGCAGCTGCTGAAGCAGATCTTGCTGCCTTAAAGTTGGAACAGTTTAGACGTCAGGTAATATGAGCTTTTTTGTAAATTCTATATCTACAGGGTCCGGCAATAGCGCGTCGAGCATCGACTGGCAATAGAATAAAAATAAAAATCTTGAGCATTTTATTTAAGTGCAAACCTAAAGTATGTATGAGGATGTATTTCAACTTCAAAATATTTTAACTTCTATGGGGTGGCTTAAAAAAGTGTGAGTGGATCGAGATTATTTTTTTTGAATGGATTCCTTTACATAATTCTAATGGTGCAAGTACACACTCGCCGAGACGACCCGAGGCCGAGGCGAGGCGACTGTGTACTTGGGGCTCTCGCCTGCTCTCGGGCCCTCTCGCCTCGCGCTCTGAATGTTTTGTACCAAGTACACGCTCGCCGAGGGGACCCGAGGCGAGACAAGGCGAGTGTGTACTCGGGGCTCTCGTCTTGCCTCGGTGCCTCTCGCCTCGTCTTGGGGGCGCTCGGTCTAGAGGCGGTCTCCAGCACGAGTCAAAGGAGACGAGAGCCACAGAGAAACTAAATAATAGAGAGACACAGTAAATTCTATATTTCTCTATGGCGAAAGCGTAAAGTAGGAGGTCCGGCGAGAATATACACGGTGCTCTCGGGAGATCTCGGCATTCCTTAGTTTGTCTTCTCAACTGCCTTTGAGTTGACGCCTATTTTCGGTATTTAAATTTATAAAATATAAATATATAACTAATACAGTGCGAAAACGATTTTAGTCAAAGTACCGAAAAATCTGTTAAGAGCACTGTAAAAAAAAGATTCTTTAATGGTTACTATTAAAAGCTATGCACGAGGTTTTCATTCAGTTTGATGGAAATCTTCAAATTCAAATATATGACTGCTAACCTAATATAAACATTCATGAGTTTTTATAAGTATCTACGTTTATTTTAATAATTGAGAAGCGATCAAACAAAACGAATCCATTTTGAGATATTAGCAAAAAACATGTCGTTATTGGTATAAACGTGTCCTTATTGTGTCTTTTAAAGAAAGAAAATTATAATGTACAGGAAAGATATTATAATACAGACTTTCTAGACACTGTTTTCGCTTTTTTGTCATCATTAACATAAAGGTACATTCAGGCTGAGAGCGTCGAGCATCGCGTCGCGTTTGCGTCGCGTCCGCCCCATTGAACTCGAACCCCGACGCTCAGCGGACGCTAGCGCAACGCCAAACGCGACGCTGTCTGCCTGAAGGGTCTATTTTTTTATATTGTTTTTATTATTACAAAATTATTCTTCAGAATATATTTATTTATGTACTGCAAAATTTTATTGCTTTGTTTTTGCGCAATGTCTCGGGGCGCCTCGCTGGACCTCGCATTTTCTGTGCCGCCTCGGGTCCCCTCGGCGAGTGTGTACTTCCAGCATAAGTTATGAGTAAATATATTTCGATTATATCAGAGGTATTAATCATGGGTATTAATAAATAAATAAAACATATTTTTCAACCTTCCTTAAAAAAATGATTACAAATACAAGAACTGTCCGTGAACTGTCCTGAAATCAAAACTATATTAGGTATTTACTTTAGATGGTCTATACTTAACTTTTCTATAAATCTAGTAAACTTAAATTATACAAGGTGTTTCTATGCCAAATTTTCTAAAATATAAAATAATTTTCCTTTGTTTTTTTTATACATGTATATTATTTTTTTATTAGATGGAGAGTTAAAAAATGAACATTTTTTGTATTTAAAGTATTTTAAAATTTTTTATCGTTTTGCAGATACACGCAGTATTATTTCATACGGCTCTTTCAACGGTAAAATACAAGAGAAAAATAATTGGGTGGCCTTGATAGAAATTGACTCTGGAAAATGCCATATGAAATATAAAAACGCGAATATCTGCAAAACCGTTAAACATTTTGAAATACTCTATATGCAAAAAATCTTATTTGTTTAATTCTCCATCTATTGAAAAAATAATATACAGGGTGTTACCATTTAAAAAAACGAAGATATTATTTTATATTTTATAAAGTTTGGCGTAGAGTTTTCAACATCCTGTATGATAGTATGATTAACGACCTTATTTATAGCAAAGTAAGTACAGACCATCTAAAGTAAATACCTAATATAGTTATGATTTCAGGATAGTTCTTGTATTTTCTTTCTTATTTATTTATTTATATCTGAAACTATCAAAATATATTTACTCATATCTTAGGATTATGTAAAGTGATCTGAAAGGAAGCCAAAAAGGCGATATTATACAGGGTGTTCCTTTTAAAAAAATCATCCCGATCCACTCCCACTTTTTTGAGCCACCCTATAGAAGTTAAAATATTATTCTGAAATACATCCTAGTACCGGGTGGCCAACTAAGAATGGACGCCGGCTGTATCTCAGAAACTACTTATCGTATAACTTTGAGAAAAAAATTCTAATAAGTAAATCGACCAAGAGAAATCGCTGGAAATTATTTTCAATTTCGAAAAATGTCCGCTAGGGGGCGTTTCGCTAATAGCCAATCAGAAAACAGGGTTTTTCTCAAAAATATGCAGGTGAATAGGTATTTTAAATATTACTGTAGTAATCATCGAGAAATTTGTAATTTTTTTTATACAGAGTGTTTTGCTCTATCTCATAAAATAAAGTGGTGGGGGAAGGTTAAACTTGCTTTTATTAAGATAAAGATAACTCTGGTTTAGGTTAACCGATTTAAACAAACTAGGGCTCGTTTAAAAGAGCTTTTCTTCCTTAATGATCTCCAGCGCAAATTTTGTTTCCATCAGTTTTTTTGTGGTAGCTAGAGGGCGCTGTTTGACATGATAACAGATATTGCACTTTTGCATACAAATATTAAATAGGAGGCTATATTTCTCATTACACAGTTAAATAGAGCACGAAATTTCCAAAATATCAGCGCAAACCGCAATTTTCTATCTTATCTCTAACCGGAGATATTAAGAGAATAAATTATGTTAGGCTGCCGCTTAGGATTGTATAGTTTAAAAATTATAGTAGTAGGCTAGGAAACAAAAAGAGGTAAATTGGTTACGTTAAAATATCAAAACATATTTTAATTCCATTTTAAAACTATTTAATTGTTATTTTTCCATGTTCGTTCTTGATTCGACCCCATAAATTAAAACCCAGACATATTGAATCCGATGACCTAGCTAGCCATGGAAATATGCCGCTCCAGCGTCTCTCTCTACTAAAGTAAGTGGTATCCAAGAAGCCCCACACATTCATAGCAAAATATGCGACACAACTGCGCCAAACTGCATTATCTACACCAACTGCATCCATGCTGATGAAATTGCAACAAATGCATTTTCATCATGATGGATCCCCTAACAAAATTGGCAATTCATCTCTTAGAAATTATGGATAGTTCATTTCATTCAGATAATCATTCGCTATCCTAGAATTCCTGCCTAAACATAGCTGAGCAGAGCTACTTGCATCCAGGGTAGATTTGGACCAGTAGTGCATATTGTTAACATTCGCATCTTCCGGGCTATATAAAAAGTGACCCAACCGACATAAACTTTATAATACAATAATAAATAACACAAACAACAGGTAAAACACGAAAACAAGTGAAATCAAGGACGAACTTGGATTAATAGCTAAATGACGTTACATGAAATAAACCCCTAGTTTTTGGCCATACGAAATTTGACCCTTTTCTGTTAAAAGCAATATGGCGGCACAAAATTCCTAGAAATTTTAATAAAATTATTAATTGGCCGACTTTCGGACATTTTAATCTGAGAACTACCTACGTATAATTAACCAAGAAATTCGTAAAAATTATGTGGATGGACGATAATGTTACATAAACACGTTTAAAAATTTATGACGTCATCTTTTTTAAGATAACGCCCGAAATTCGGATGCATGGATACTGAACTTAAGCGTTTTGATATTTTGAGGCAACTAATTTACCTCTTTTTGTTTCCTAGCCTGCTACTATAATTTTTAGACCATATAATCCTAAGCGGCAGCCTAACATAATTTGTTCTCTTAATATCTCCGGTTAGATACAAGATAGAAAATTGCGGTTTGCGCTGATATTTTGGAAATTTTGTGCTCTATTTAACTGTGTAAAGAGAAATATAGCCTCCTATTTAATGTTTTTTTGCAAAAACACAATATCTGTTATGATGTCAAATAGCGCCCTCTAGCTACCACGAAAAAATGATGGAAACAAAATTTACACTGGAGATCATTAAGGAAGAAAAAGCTCTTTAAACGAGCCCTAGTTTGTTTAAATCGGTTAACCTAAACCAGAGTTATCCTTATTTTAATAAAAGCAAGTTTAACCTTCCCCCACCACTTTATTTTATGAGATAGAGCAAAACACTCTACATCAAAAAAATTACAAATTTCTCGATGATTACAATAGTAATATTTAAAATACCTGTTCACCTGCATATTTTTGAGAAAACCCGTTTTCTGATTGGCTAGCAGAGAAACGCCCCCCTAGCGGACATTTTTCGAACTTGAAAATAATTTCTAGCGATTTCTCTTGGCCGATTTACTTATTAGAATTTTTTTCCCAAAGTTATACGATAAGTAGTTTCTGAGATACAGCCGGCGTCCATTCTTAGTTCGCCACCCGGTACATATTTTAGGTTTGCACTTAAATAAAATTTCCAAGTTTTTTATTCTACAGATGCCCGACGCACTATTGCCGGACCCTGTCTATTGATCTTCAATTTTTTAGATGAATCCTGAAGATTTTATATTTTAAGTTTTATTATATTTAAGGTTTCAATTAAAAAGACAATTTTTTTATTATGTTTAATTTATTTGTGGAGAAACATCATGTGACCAGTTAAATTAAAACAAGTAGAAAAAAACATAGTATTTTTAAGATGACTAATAATACACTATAACAAATCACTTAAAATAAGTTATATGTGCAATACAGGGTGTCAAAATAGTGTATCTAACTTTGGTGGGCGATTCTACAGATTAAAATAAAACAAAAAGTTCCTATGAACACATGCCCTAAAATGCTTCCCGAAGATGTTAAA